GTTGCCAGGTTGTGTGTGTGTGTGTATATATATATATATATATATAACACTGGAATGGAAGATGATGCATTGTCGTTCTAATTTTTGGCCATCAATTCTTCAGTGTTTCATATTATTCACATCTAAATACATGTTGTAGTTGATAAGGGTAGTCTGGTGGTTGCCATTGATCCCCCTTAGTTCCTGACTTTAATTTTAAAGTCATACTTTTTGTTAGGTGTTGTATCAAGTCACCAAAAACAAAACCATAATGAAGTGGCCCTGCATATAAAGTCCAAGATTCATGGTGTATGACAAGATGCGGACATGTCTTGGGTGATGCAATTTTTTTGCTTTTCTTCTTAAACTTAATCTAGCAACAGCTGTGGGCACCTGGGACAAAATCCTCTATTTCATTTTTTCCATTAGCCTTGTGTATTTAATACTCCTATGATAGTACCCATGTTTAGGGACTTCAATATGTTAAACAGTCAAACAAGCAGTGACCATTGTTTTTCTTTTTATTCTATTAGAGTTGTTGTCAAAGAATTATATGATCAGCTTACTAGCTCTCTTCATAACTAGCAAAGTAAAATCTTAAGCATAATAAAGACTTGCACAAATCAACAAGAAAACTATAACAGATCAACCATAAGTACAAAGACTCATTTTTTCTGTTTTAGTGCTTTAGGCTGTTTACTATTCATACGATGGCCAAGTTCATGAAAACCCCAGTTGTAATCATGATATGGTGCCACCTGTAGTGGTCATGGATTAATGTAACTAGGACCAGGTGATTGGTTAAACTCCATTGAGTAGCTCTCAGGTGGCACAACTACATAGTTTGGTTCAAGAGTTGAAGCTGCCGTACTCCTTTTGAACATAACATGTCTATTTTGATTTAAACCACATGAACATGCCTAAGTTGAAGCCCATTTTAAGTTGTTAATCACAACCACTTTCTGCCACCCCCCCAACATGACCTTTGAGAGGGTAATATTGGCTTTGGTTTGTTTAGAGCATGCAATTGTTGTTCGTCTTGTTATAAATCATTTTCTGCATAACGGTCTTCTGTTTTCTCTTTGTTTTTCTACATAATGTCTCCTTGATTATGGCTCATCATCCACTCGTAAAATTGATATTTTTATGCAAGAACATGATACATCAAGTCTTTTAGACTTGATGTATATAATATGTCTAAGTTGTTTGTCACAACCACTTTCTGCGGCCCTCCCCCAAACATGACTTTGAGTGGGTAATATTGGGTTTGGTTTGGAATTTGTTATCATATCTTTTTGTATATGTGTTTTTATCTCATTCTCCTGTTGATTTAATTGGATTATTGATTTTTCCTATTGTGAATGAAGTTCTTGATCTAGTTCAGTTTTTGCATCTTACCGATGTTGATTCTGATGAATGGTGATGTAAGATGTTTATTGTTATTGTATAGATTTTTAGCTTAATTTTTTGTTTCGTTTTAGTGTTTATAAGTTTTTGCTCGATTCACTGTTAAATAGCAACTCATTTGATCTTCAGAAGGATTTTTTAGTAATGGAGAGAGTGTAGATTTATCCAGCAACTCTTGATATGTTATATGTGATGTGAAACATGTCCCCTTATTCTACCTTATGTTGAATATATTGAAGGTTTAAAGAATGATTTGTTTCCTGAAACCTTAAGAGACAAGGCAACAGCAAGACGTTACGAGCTCGAAAAGGTACATGGCTTCAAACCTGATTTTATCTTTTTTATTTTAAATCCAAAAGGGGTGTAGAAAACTAAAGTTGATGTATGTATTTGGGTAAGAGCTGACCGTGACAAGAGTCATTGCCCTCACTTACTGGGTAAGACTCTCAACTGGAAGGAGTGCGTGTGAGTATCTACCGTATATTATATATACTTACAAAAACTAAGTAAAGGGTGTGTAATTTTACAGGAATGGATAAAAGAAATGACAGTTAATGTGGAAACTATTGATCCAAAGCATCTAGTGGAGATTGGTCTTGAAGGATTTTATGGGCCTTCAACACCTAACAAGGTTCAATATAATCCAAATACTTATGCTCAACAAGTGGGAACTGATTTCATCAGAAACCATCAAATTCTTGGTGTTGAATTTGCTTCTGTTCATATTGATGCTGACTCATGGTAAGTCTACTAAAACATATTAACTTTCTACTAAATTCTTGAAAATCTTATCATGGTTAGAAGGGGGGGGGGGGGGGAGGTTGGAGTTTCTTAAAGTATTATTCTTTAAATCTTTTTATCTTATAATTCTTAAAGTTTCTTAAAGTTTTTGGACTTGTGTTAGTCTACACTATGTGATAAGCATTCTAAATTGCAAGTATTTTAGGGGCATTCTACTCTCTTTAATTTGATAATTTTGAAGAACGAGCTAAATTTGAGAGGTAGGTTAAAGAAAAAGGACAAGGACATGCAAATGAACAAGTTGTCTCAAGAGGTCTTCTAAGAGCACTTGTTATTACTCTCACCAGGTATTTTTAACATGTATTCTAGAGTTTATTATACACCATAACGAGATAATAGTTTTTTTTTGTGGCTAAAATGCGTTATATTTTTTTGGCTTCCATTTGATTGCGGTGATTGGAACTAAGAGAGTGTGCTATCACTCGGTAGTTTCTGATTCATTTGTATGCCTGTTATTATCCTAACTGTTATTATTTGACGTTTTACTTATTTATTTACTTCTCTGTTCCTAAACATTGGCTTGAGCACTCATAAATTTTAAGTCCTGGCCAATGCTTTTTGAGTATTCTTGGACTGTTGTTGTTGAAATCATTACACACTTTTTACTTGTAACAATCTATTTATTAGGTTCGATTTTGGTTTGAAACAGACTAATACTTTGACTAATGTGCTACCACTATTTTCCTTCAGGTTTTAAGCAAGTGTGATTATGATGGCGTTGTTGCTCATATGTTCTGTTTGAGGAGTCTGCCAACTTTGTATAAAAAGGATAACTACATGTTTAATATATTCTTCTCTTTTATGATGCGTAAATTGGAAAATGTTAAACTTGAAATCATATGTAGGTTTTAAATATTCATTTTGCTAATGAAATGTTCTGATGGCTTATTGACTTGTTGTAGATAAAGAGGGAAATTGTCACAGTTAGCGGTTCACATGAAATTATTATATTATGGCTAACACCTTTCCAGACACCTTGCAATCAGACGAGGCTTCGTCATCTGTGCAAAGTAACAAACATGGTTCTAAAAGGGCAGACTATAAAAAAGTTAGAAAAGAGATGACAGGTGATCGGTAGAGTATCAAATTTTGTGAGGAGTTTAGGGCGGATGTTAGAAAATGGATTTATAGATTGATTGAATGTTGGGGATTGTTTTGAGAACTTATTTTTTTTATATTATAAATTTATATCAATTTATTGCTTTGAGATTTTTATGTTGTTTTCATTGATTAATATAATATATAATTATATACAAATATAGATCTTAAATATGGATGAAAAATAATAATAACATGCCTTTTAGAGAAGGAATTGATCTTTTAAAAGTGTATCTAAAGATAAGATTTAGAGAAGGTTTTGATTATTTGTATCTAAAGATAATCTTTTGAGAAGGTTTGTAGAGTGTAAATAAAGGACATCTTTAGAAAAAGTTTAGGTAAAATGTCACTAAAGCCAATATTTTTACAGAAGCTTTTTTGTAAACCTTCTCTGAAAGCACCTTTTAGAGACGTTTGTAAACTGTCATCAATACTTGAAAAGTGTCACTAATAAATACATTTAGAGAAGCTTTTATAAAAAAGTTAATTAACCTTTAGAGAAGTTTTGAAGTGTATCTAAAGCCYTAAAAAAGTGTCTCTAAAAGCTACCAAAAACATACTCTCCGAAAACCGTTCCTAAAAGTTTTACCTGCCATTACATAGAGAAGCTTTTTGACGGAAATGAAAAGCTTCCTTAAAGCCTTTAAAGAAGCTTTTAAGAATTTTAAGTACAAAGCAGAACCTTCTCTAAAGGTTATTTTTCTTGTAGTGACAAGAGCGCAACTTCTAAGCAGATGAAGTTTTGGTAGTTTTTTAAATGAGAATTTCATGATATGGAATAAATAGCCCATTTCAGCGAAAAAGCAGTAGGAGGTTCATTATGGTCTACAAGCTTACAACTTTATAGCTCAAGGTCAAAGATGCAAGCTTACTGAAATAGTTATTTATCATGCTCAGCTTTCTAGCATTTCTTTTACCACTAAAATTGCAACATAAGACGCCTTAGAATTCTAGGTTTTTCAAATTGGAGAAGAGTTAAATTTACAAATAGTGTGTTTTTTAGTTTTGAGATTTTTCAGCATCTCTCACATATTGCAAGTTTGTTTTTAACACACTTATGATATGCGCTTTGTTAGCCTTCTCTATATATAGTTGATGGTAACATTTTATAGTTTGGTTTAATATATTGTTTATGTTTTTATGTATGATAATTTATGTATATAATAAGTTTCTTCCGTGACTCAGTTTTTGCATACAAGTTTCCCCATCAATGTTTCTGCAAACTCCTCTGCTTTATACGTTTCTACATATAATGTTTTTGGAAAAGCTTTTTGCTGCCGTTTTTCAGTTTTACGCATAAAGATTTTCTCCAGAAACCTTTTATTCACGTCTGTAGTACTAGTAATGTTTATAACTTTTTTTTAAAAACATTGTCCCTTCAAAGTGTTTAATTTTATGCCATAGTTGATAACATTTCTTAGTAGGCTATGATGTTCCCTAACTCAATGAACCAAAATCAGTAGGCTATGCTTTCTCCCTAAGTGTTTGTGAATATATATATATATATATATGTGTGTGTGTGTGTGTGTGTGTATGTGTGTTTCTCTACAACAACACACTATGCTTTCTTAACTATTCTTTATCGCAGGTAACTAACTCAGCTTCCTAACAATACTTCCAGAATTGATCCGCCAAGGTAATTGGTTTAGTATTTGTGTTTAGAAGGAAGAAGTGAATAGTACCTAGATCTCTGTTTTCCTCTCTACGAAGCATCGATGAAAGGTAACTGGAAAGCTGCTAAAGACTTTTTCGACAAACATGAAGAGCTTGTACGGTTTAGCATCAATAGAAACTATGAAACAACACTTCACATTACAACATATGAAGGAAACACCTTGTTCGTGAAAAACCTTGTGACTTTGATGGAAAATAAGGATATGGAGCTTCAGAATAGCAGTTCCAACACTGCTCTAAGTTTAGCAGTTGTAGCTAGACATATGGAAATGGCTGAAATTATGGTGACCAAGAATAAGACCCTGTTGGATATTGCTGGTAGCGAAGGAAAGATGCCACTTTATATGGCGGCTTTATCTGGAAATCATGATATCGTGAAGTATGTGTATGAAAATTCTGAAAGAATGACCGGTGGGTTTTGGACACATGAGAGTCGGGGTTGTGTTCTTTTATCATGTGTTGTGGAGGAGCTATTTGGTAAGCATTTTGGTAATTCTGCATATATAGTACTTTTGCTCATTGTTATTTTTCTTACTTCCAACTGGTAAATGTTGTTCATTAATTCCTTATATTGCCAGTGCACACAGTCTTTCACTTGGGTTCTGGGAATACATCATACCTTGGACAAAATATGTGTAAAAGTTGACTTAAACACTACAACAAAATCAAGTTTTTAGGACGTCAAAAGTGTTTTAGCATCCTAATAGACCACTTTATAAGATTTAAGTTTATAGGACCAAACCTTTGTATGTCATATCTAAAGTGTTGTAACAAGTTTTATGACGCTACTGGATGTCTTAATAAACTGTTTAGAATAATTTTGAAACAAAAGGTTATGTTAACCTTCATAGGACACTTTTAAACACACTTTCTCAAATGGTGTCCTATAAAAGGACTAACAGGACTTTGTTTCAAAAGTGTCCTAAAAATCTTTTTTAGGACGTTATATTTATACACTATATCATGTTAGTCAATCTTCTCCTAATCATGTTTTTCAGCCAAGGGTCTCGGTAATATTCGGTTTCCAGATAGTTGATCTTGTATTTAAATAGTTTGAGTATTATAGTTGTAGGTACATATATATATATATGGATATATATATATATATATATATATATATTTGTGAGAGTGTATGAATGGTTTTCGGAAAAAGGTGATGCATGGTAAGCACCATGAGGTATGTAACTGGAAAAAGTTTACTAATTTTATAGATATCAAATTCTCTAAAAGTTTGGAAGATTATAAAGCAGAAGAAGATTTTAAAGCTAATTTTAAGGCAAAGGTGAGTTCCCTACTTGGATATATTTGGTTGTTATATCTTCACCATATATCTTGATAAAAATGCTAGTATATGTTGTTTGGATGGGATTTAAACTGAATTATTGTTACTGTTGCTTCATCGGCCGTTAAACCCTCAAGAACAGAACTCATCGAACAAGGGAGTGTCCAGATAGGACCTCTCATCGGACAAGGCAGTGTTCAGATAGGACCCCTCACCGGTCAACGCAGTGTCTGGATAGGACCCCTCACCGGTCAAGGCAATGTCCAGATAAGACCCCTTCACCGGTTAAAGCAGTACTCGATCATGACCAAATGCTGTAATGATTCCTGAAAATCCTCCTCTCCGAACATAGTATTGCTCGGTTAAGAAGTAAGATGTTGTCCGATAACCATCTTCACCGGACAGAGTATTGTTTTGATAAATTCCTCTTCGAACACAATATTGTCCGGATAGGATTGAGTGTTACACAATAATATCTTCTAGAAGTGAATATTATCTGGTTGGCTCGCGATAGATGAAATGATGGTGTAACCGCGATAGATTAAATGGTGGTGTAACCGCGATAGATGGAATGTGGTATTAAGGTCCAAGTTGATCTATATTGGGTTTTGAAGTAAGCTATGTTTTGTGATTGTGGAACTTACTCACTAGGCCTTTAGATCTAACGCTTAATTATTATAATAATATGTTTTGCAGGCTGTCCATCATCTTAGGACAAAGGCAAGGGAAAAATGTAAAGAAAGTGATATTTAGAAGGACAAATGTTATTATCCGATAAAAGCTTTTGTAAATCCGTACTTTCATTTGTCATGTAAACATACTTTGGGATATTGTATAATTCTAGTATGGATAATATGGTATTGTATGATAAATGTATTTGTGAATTTCATAGTGTTATGTGTTTGGTGGGTTGTTTCAGTTGGTATCAGAGCCTTAGTTTAAGAGATCTGGGTATTATCTTGATACTTAGACTTAAATTAGAGCTGTGGAGTATGTGATAATAGGTTTCACTGGGATTATGTACATGGGAATGTGTTATGATTGAACCTATTATGATGATAAGCATGATAAAGTTAGATTACATGAGATTATTGTAATATTGAGTTACAGATACTTGATATATGGGTAAACATGTAATCATAGTTTTGTATGTGATTAAATGTATATGTGTTTATTGTGACAGTAAGGACGTAAAGTAATACGTGTACTAAGAAAGAATGGCATATAATCTCAATCGATCTGGAAGAACTTCTACTAGCCGTGGACGAGGTCAGGGAAGAGGAATGGTAAATATAGAAGAAGATCCAGAAAATGCTTATTGATAGGAAGGGAAAGAAATATTTAGCAAGAAGCTCATACAACTCAGCACAAGAAAGTTCTATGTCAGGTCATGGACGGGGCAGAACAAGGTTTTATTACTTAGGAAATGTTGTACACAAAATAACCAGGAAGGAGTAAGGAATCCGAATTTTCAGGAAGAAACCTGTTGGTCTCGTAAGGGTCTACAAGAAGAGAAACAGTTTGTAGAAGGGGGGGGATGAATACAAACACAGTATTTTCAAATTTAAAATATATATTGATAGAGAAGATCAATACAGATTTTACAAGATTGTTTGCAGAAAGATAAGGTAATAAAAACCTATCGAAACAAT